TCACATCAGTGGCCAAGACTTTCGGACCAAACAATTGTTTATATTTGTATGCATTTTGGGCTCATTTTGATAACTCATTGATTGATTGAATGGATGCCTATTATAGAGCCACTGATATCAATGAAAAGGCGTTATTAACGACACGAAAGTGTGGATCAGTTAATGGCGTTAACGATTGCGTGCAATTAGTGAGCACTGACTTGACTGAAGCCATTAACCATCGTTTGCATCATTGCATTGATTTACTTGTTTTCAATCCTCCATATGTGCCGACACCGACACAAGAGGTGAGTTTGGTGTCCATAATTGCGATGAAATTCTTATGCAATTGTCTGATGTGGTTATGGTCTGAAAGGTAGGCGCGGGTGATATAAGCAGTTCGTGGGCCGGAGGTGTCGACGGCCGACAAGTGATTGATCGCTTCCTACCGACTGTGCCATCGCTTCTCACTCCCAATGGTTTACTATATCTTATTGTTGTCAAAGAAAATAAGATCTCAGAAATATGTGATGCAATGAAAGCAATGGATTTTGAAATGACTATTGTATTGGAGCGCAAATCAGGTCCCGAACACCTCTCGGTTCTTAGATTTAACAGGTATTGTATGAAACACTTTATGTAAACTTATTTACAAATATATTAATTATTGTTGAAAACAATTGCATTTAACTTTAAATTTATTTTTCAGGTTTGGATTTCCAAACAATTAGGTTATAATAAATCAATTTATTTGTAATAATAGTAATAAATTATATTAATTAACTGTAAAGTAATAGAAGCCATTAATTGGTGACTTGTTTGTCGGCAAACTTCTTAAAGAGTGGATCATTTGTTTTGATGGGAAACAATAGGGAAGACTTCTGGTAATAATCTTTACAAACAGTGATATTATTGATGACGGTATCCAAGAGATGTATTCGCTCGACAAAACCGGTCTCTTCATTGGCCAATGCCGTGAAGTGGATGTGGAAGTGATAGTATGACGGCTGGTAATGGATGTAAATTCTCAGCTGATCTCTGGTCACTCCATACTTCTTCTCAATGGCTTCGC